GTCCTCTCAGTTCTTAGGGGCTGAAACCGTATGGTAGTCTAACAGTTTATCAGAACTTTTTAGAAGAAAACAATTAGTCTCTGTAGTAGAAATCCCTATTTTTCTGGAGTTTACAGCTGCAGCAGATCATCAGAGCTCTAGCAAAACATTTCAGTAATAATGATAAGAACTCAAAAGCGGGTCACTTTGAAAGCACCTGCCTTAGCAGAACCCTAAAAACTTCTTCATGCCGCTCAGAGTGCTTCCTATATATGGAGATATCACCTCTCAAAATAAATCTCTGCATGCATTTTCTATGCTACCATGTGCTCTGTGATATAGAGGAGCTGTTAACTTGAAAAATTGTTCTTGATTTCAAACACAGGGTAAGACTCTAGATTCTTTAGCAAGCAGACAGCTAGGTATTTCCACTGGCTTAAGGTCTCTTAGGCCTCATGTGCACATATGGAAACAAATGGTAACGAGGTGCAGCCCAGTCCTGTAATTGCTTCTAGCGCGTTTCAAAATGTATTGCTTAGCTATAAATCAATACAAATGAATTAAAGAGTGAAATATTGATTCCATATTGGAGAATGGTTTTCATAAGTTTCAGTTATTCATAAGCTAGTTGAAGTTAGAATTCTGTCAGCATCTCTGAAAAATTAGACCATCATTATTTCCCCTTAGTTCTGCTACTCATTTTTCATGGAAAGAGAATAGTTTTGCGTGTTGAGTCTGAAACAACATTGACATGTATTTCAAAAATAATGCAAAGTGCATGTCATCATAATGCAAAGTTTATGCCATCATTTCAGGATTGACAGAGATTGTATCTTTCATTCAAGTACAAACTATTGTGTTTGAATGAAAATCACGGAAATTCAGCATATACTGACTGTGGCAATTACAATCACTAAACTGTGTAATTCCTCAATTTAGCAAATTTTCTCTAAGAATTACTGCACAGTTGCACTTTTACAATATTTCTTTAATTCTAATTTGTTGCTGCTTTGAATCAACAAAGTATCACTCTAAGTATTTTTTTTTTTAATTCAGTGTTTTCTTATTTTTCAAGATGTCTTTAAAATATCCAGGGAAAATGATCTTTTCATATTCCACATACTGTGGACCAGTGAAATAATGCAGACTATTGTTAATGAGCAGATAGGACCTCTCATTGCATACTGGAGCTCCCAATTAGTATTAATTAATCTGACTAAACAGCATAGAGTTATACATGTCTCAATTTTTCATCTTCCATTGCTCTCTGAAGAGCTGAAGTCGAGCTTGTTGAGAGAGGAAGGAGACACTAATCTAGTGCTTGACCCAGTGCCCACTGAGGTCAAGAAAAAGATTCAATTATTGCTAACAGGTTTGGGATGAAGCCCTTAACCATCTACAGCTAAGTATGTCTTAAAGATTAAATGAATGTTGCATATTGCTAACCATTGAATTTTTTTATTTTGCCTTAAAACAGTAAAATAGAGGTGCAGAATAGCTTTTAAACTATTATTTTATTTTAAAACCATTATGAGTTTTAAGCAATGATGAGCTAAATTCAAGACAATCTTGGCTTGAGAGCACTCAGAGAACACTCTCTCGTTTTATTTGTGGAAGTGTTCTCCAGACTGAATAATCTGAAAATTGATCAATGACTGACTCATAGTGCTAGAGTTAAAATTATGAATAGCATGCCCAGATTTCTGATGAGGCAGACTTTATATTCAATAATTCTCCTTCTAAAAAAACATATAGCTTTCACATTCTATTTTACAATTCTGATTGCTTTATTACTATTGATTCACAATCCTGCTCCTTCTTTAAAAAACTGAATGATCTACCTCCCTAGCAAAAAAGAGGTGGCTGTTTTTTAAGAGAGACTCATAAACGTCTTTGTAAACAGCTCCTTAAAAAAAAAAAAAAAAAAAAAAGAATCCCTTAATAGATTCCAGAGATCTCCTCTCCGACTCTGTATATTATTCAGTCAGAGATTGTTGTGTAGCCTAATACAGTCTAAAACATGAAGGGAGCATCAAGACCGTATCATAAAGATCCTTCTAGTTTGCTCTGTAATGGAGCTATAACTTTCATATACTCTAAATGTTCTCCTTTAGTCTTATACTCTTCTGGCTAGCAAAAAGTTTCAAAAATGATCATTCCCTATTTAGTTTCTCTTCCTCTGTTGGTGAAAGTCATATTAGTACAAAGCATAAGTACGAATAATCATGCTTACAAAGTATACAGGCATGAACTAAACATGGCAGAAGATACAGCAAGTAATATTGCCATATAACTTCCCTAGCAACAGAACTCCTAAGAACCACCCTATTCACCAATTCATGCAATTGGAAACCTACATTCCCTGAAGGAGAGAAAGTGTAACTCGTATAACACCATATGCTATACAGAGTTACTACTAAAACGCTACATTAACATTCCAAACACTGGAAATTTGTATCTTGTTGATATGGTCTGCACATTTTTTTCCAAGAGTAATTATCACAGTATAAAATATAATATGTGGCCAAAAGGACAAAATTATCATAATAAACGATCATAGCAAATCATTTGTGTGAAGCTCCATCTTGAACTCTTGTGAAACTATTGCAACTTTAAAAACTGCAATTTGAAAACACGGAAATTCAGAAAAAATAGGATGCAAGTCACATCTATCTGTTTTGATATTCTTATTCATGATTAGAGATATAAACGAAGGGGGGAAATATTCTGAGCAACACTGATTCATTTACATTTAATAGGTGCCAGGAACAATTCTTAGGGACAAAATAACAGTGACAGAAAATACTAGTTAGATGTATAAAGTAGACATAGTTTAAAATGTATATGTGATCTCTGTTCTGTTTCACCATTAGTAATATTTCAATATTCTGCTTAAAGTGCAACATCTGAGCACATACTGTAAGATCAAGTAGCCAGACTGCAAGTTAAGTAGTAAAGCTACCTTTCCATCCAAGGATTCCTCTCAGCCATGGAATTGCACATGTAGGACAGTGATATATACAAAGAAGAAATCCACCTCTGTGGACTTCACAGAGTCCATTCAGAGTTTACATTTTACAGTATTATATTAAGTATTTTGTTAATTAGCAATTAAGAAGCTAATTTGGAAAGTGTTTCCTGCTAACCTCACTCTGATCCAACTAAAATAAATGGCAACAAGTACCAAATATTTTAGGAAAAAAAACTATTAACTGCTGTTGAGGTCCATGTTCTGCTCATCTTTACTGATTTCCTCTGGACATAATGGCAATGCCATGAAATACAACTTGTTGCTACTATCCTTCTAGCTCAGAAAAGCGGATGAGTGTCGTCCTGTGATAAGATGACTGTGATGGATGGCATCTGTTTTATTGTTTGTTCTATGTTTCTGTTCTGTTCTTTTTGAAATGAGGGTGAGGTGGCAGACACCGAAATGGGGGAGAAATTGTTCTTTCTTTGGAGGAATTAGTAAGCTTGCTTGGGATGGAGGTGGTTCAGACCGTGAGGTACGACTAGCCAGGAAGGCACAGAATGGAGCTGGATACCTCCATTATGAAGGTTATGAAAAGACTAAGAAGTGGTACTGAGATAAATGGAGTACGCAGGCGATACCAGAGACATGACGAAAAGTTTGGGTAACAAAGCAACTGAAGAAGTCATTCAGTTAACTGGAATTAAGCCTTTAAGCAAAGAACCACAGGGAAGGACAAAGCAGGTGGGGAGAAGTGTGTAAGATTTTTATTTCTTTTTTGTTGTTCTTAGTCACTTTCAGCTTTCCATATTCTGAAAATTTAATACTATATTTTTTGTTTTAATAAAATTTGGCTTTTGTAGTTTAAATATCTTTTGCTCCGTGGATTGCTACAAAAAAATTTATAGGCTGATTGACCTCAAAGCTCTGGTCAGCTGGAGGTCTTGTCACAGCGAGAGAGTGAACATTTTGCAAGAAGGAAGACATGAAGTAAAGAATTGCTATAAATTCTTCAGAGTCAGAAAGATTAGTTGCCACATGGCTTAATACTGGCACCCTCATTCACTATTATGACTAATGCCTTGAGTGACAGTACAGGAAAATATACAAGTGGCCAGATTTACACTGTTGTAAAAAGTTTTGTAATGGAGTAGAGAATTAGGCTCCTCCCTGTACAAATTAGGGGGAAAATACACATATATTTCTACATACCTTTGCATGCATAGTCACATTTATGCCACATATATTATATTTAAATTTTAAAATGTAGATAAATGTAAAATGCCGGAAGTGGACATTCTTATTCTAATCAACTATCTACCACATCTGCATTAATAATAAGGCATGTTTGATGTTGTAAAAAAAAAAAAATCATTAAAATATAAGTCATAGCTTTGATATAGAATAACTAAAAAAACTGTCTCTGCATTGTGGTATGAAGAACAGACCAGGGACAAATCATTTTTTACAGAATTTAGGTGACATTCCATGTAAACTACACGCCAGACTTACGCTAGAATTGCTAGAATTATACAGGTGTTCACCCCTAAACATGTCCCTGTGCCCATCATCATGTAGGCAGGAAGTGGTTAGGTCAGTGACTCACCAAATGGCAATCAAATTCATTTGTACTTTGAAATAGACCTGTAGGCACCTACATTTTGCAGAGAGTGACTCCCTTCAACGGTGTATTTTACATATTAGAGGCCTCAGTTTCAGTACACTACTACTTTCAGAGCAATGTTCCCTGAGAAGTTAACAAGACGGTTGAAAGATAGGGTTAAGAACATATTGGAGGTTAATTTGATGCTGAAAGTTTCAAAGAACTTACTGTTTACTAAACACATGCCATTTAAAACCAAGAAAATCAGTTGGTTCTTAGGTAATACCTAGGTACTTTTCCCAGAGTTATTCAGATTAGTATTTTTATATCACGCATTGATAAAAATCTTTTTGAAATGTTGACAAATATTTCAGAATCTTATATTTACCTTTAATAAATACTCACTGCTACCACTGAGTTATAACTCTATATTAATCTTTTTGGTACCTGTAAGTGATATGTTTGTGTTGCCACTTCTGTCCTGTTAACGCGTATCGTTTCCGACGAATGTTAAATTTGGAGCTACCTCTTGTTTGATCAGGAACACCACATCGAGGCTTCTTCATCCAGCTGCAAAAACCAGTACCACGTAGTTAAAGCAACATGGAAGACAAATCATAACCACTGCAAGAAGAATGTCAGCATTTTTTTGAAGTTACGCTATTACCGACTTTGTGGCTACAAACAATAATGACTATGAACAGGAACAGTCATCTTCTCATAGGCTTTGGATGTATATTTTGTGGAGTTTCATTGCCTCCCATGACACTCAGAAACAAATTCGTTTGCTGCTACTTTTCCTAGTTTTCTGTTGCTACAAACTCTGGACAAAGACTTCACAACTGGACGTGTCTTTCAGCATTCATAATTTATTCTGATTCTTTAAAGGTAATTATGAGCCGTACTACCAGTTTACCTACTGAAGATGAAGTTAAAATATATATACAAAGACTTAGTCAAATCACTAGGTCCTGAATTTTTTTTTTCCTTCTATGATTCTTCTCTTTTGTCTCATTGTCATTATATTTAAACAAGCCTCAAGTTCTTTTAATCAGAGAGTCCAGTGAGCTGGAAAATATATTTTTTAAGTCAAGATACTGAGAATGCTAACATTATAAAACTACTCATGTCTTCATTAAATGCTTTCGCTATCTTACTGCCTTTCAACACAATAAAAGGATTAGCTCTAATCACAACTGTAAGCTGTTAGTGGAGTTATCTAAATCAAGAATTCTGCCTACGAATATTTAATGCACTGCACAGAATCAAACTGAAAAGGTCTAAATCATCAACAAAATGGTCCACTGGAGTAGCACTTGACTTTCCACCGAAGTGTTCAATTTTTATAATAGCCTGTATTCCAATGTATTCCAATATGTCAAATATTTCAAATTTGTCAGTATTCCAAATATGTTAAAATTAGGATGATACCTAATTCCAAAGCACAGGTTCACTGTCCGTATCACTGAATGAATAGTTTCTCAGTTGCAGTGCAAGGAGCTATTTAGTTTGAGTAAATGTAGCAAAGTTAAGCTGAAGTCGTCATTATATAGGAAAGATGAATAGTTGCAGAACAATTGTCCATTACTATCAGGAAGACAGCAAAACTAAAGACATTTGTTGTACAAGTAAAAGACAACTCCTGTGTTACTTCTCTGTTTCACTGACTTGACTTTTATCAGGCCAAGTAATTATTGACGCAAAAGCTGCATTTTTCTGTGCATTTTCCAATTTTTTTTACTGCAACAGTAGTATTCATATCCTATATTCTGACTTGCATGAATGACTTTCTGACCATTACCTTGGCATTTAACCACCATATCATAAATATATACATCTAGGAGCTGTATATATGTATGACTGGATGGCAGAGAATTCATTTGAAATGTCACCTAATTAAAGCATAGACTACTTTTAAAATATGCACAGGTAATAAAAATGCAACAACAAAACTAACCAAGCAACCAACCATCTTTCATCTTTCCTGCAGGTATTCTTTGTTCAATATACCCAAAATGAAGAAAAATATGTTGTTTTGTCCAAAAGAAAACACGGAACACTCACAGCGCAAAGGACTATTGTATATATAAAACATAACCAAATGAAATCTTTCATTTGTTAAAGAAAACCAATCCTAACAGATAGCAAATAAAGTTTTTAGAGTAAGAAAGGCATAAATTGTTCAGTTCCACTCTCAACGACTGAGATGTGCATTCTAAGTTTTACAGCTACCGACACAGGGCAACGCGTATTGCATACTGAATGAATTTTTAGAGACAGGCTAACGCAACGCGGGCTTCCAGTCAAAGCCAGCCACGCTCATTTTCATAAACCAGCATGAAGAGGTATGTGAGTACAGCCAGGCTTATAACACTTGGTATATATTGTAGCTATGGATTTATAGCAGATAACTGTTTAAATGACTACGTATGAGTTCAGCCGACCAGCCTGCAAGCAAGTGTTGATTCAGCAAAGTAGATGTTAGCAGCTTCTGGGATACGTTACTATCGCCAAGTTAAACCCACTCTAATAATGAAGTAAAGAGGCAGATCTTAGTTACAGACTAAAGGGCAGTTCCACTCTTCTCAGTATGATAGCATATTTACCTTCAGCAAATGAGATTAAAAATTGGCTCAGACCTCAGGAAACTTTTAGGCATGTGTTGTCAGAAATACTTTTTCTCAGTGAATAGTACATCAGCATGCAGTTACCATGCATTGTAATGATTGGGTATATTTGCATTACGTGGCTGAAACTCCACACATACATTGCAGGACACATATGCAACAAAAGACATGTTTTCTCACCTTAAGGTGATATCACTACATCAAAAGAAAGAAGCAAGGAATAAAGCAAAGAAACCCCAGCTATTTTATTTTGTTAGAAACTGTACAAAAATGTAAGGGTCTGGCACAACATATATAATATAATGTATCATTTATAATTCTATTATTTTAGGGGCAATGACTGTAAATCAACTGAATCAGGCCATAAAGGAAAAAAAAAATTAAATTAGTCAACTTAACTGATGGAGACCTATCTTAATAACAGCGTTTGCTCACCTGGCAGAGAGCCAGGGCAGATAAGAAGTGTAAATATTCAAAGCTGTGGATTTAAAAGTCAATCTTCAAAGCCATTACTGAACTAAGCTCTCTAGTTATGTCAAAGGTTCAATACCCTTACAGAAAATACAGTTAGCATTATAAAAGATCTCATGCTTCACAGAAAGGTCTAATACAAAAAGACAAGACTAGCAGGTAGCAGAGATTCAAAATTCAACACTTCATCATCTTACTAAGTGCTAAAAATTCATTTTTTAACAAAACAAAACATAGGCCAAAATAACTTTTTATCAAGATATTTAAGAAAACACAGTTTATTGTTGCATTGGTTCTGAGTGGTCTGTACCTATCAAGAACATTATGTTTCTCTATAGTTTGAGTGGGCAGAGGATGTTCTATGTTTTCATGGTTTGACCCATTGCTCTTCTTACGGTTACAAAGGTGACTGGTTCTGTGGCTCATACACAATAAAAACCCCAAGGCAAACCAAATGGAGAACTTTGCACATCACAAATGGCTCACTAGCTTTCAATAATCTTTCAAAAATCTTTGTGTAAAAATTCAGGAAAGGTGCAATTCATTCCATTTATGCACATGAAGAATTGGACTGTCACCAAACCTATCACCTAAATCTTAGCTGAGCTAAGTTTGTCATACAAAATTTCCAGTAAATTATTGAACAGTCAATATCAGAGTCCAGTCTTTTCTAGCACAGAAATGAGGCAAAAGGTCAACAATTTCTGCCACAAAAATTCCCTTTTCAAATTTGCTTTTAATTTAAAAAATACTTTTGCAAACAGTAACTATTCTCATTCTGACTCGGGGGAACACTTCTATCAGGAATAATTATTAATGCCCAGGACATTTGGGAATTCTGTGCAATGTCCTTTTCTGTCTGTGAGAGAACTGACAACAAAAAATCATCTCTATTTTTTTCCAGTTATAGCTGCTTTCAACATAATATGGTCAAGGTGTTCCATGTTTTTGATTGCTTGTTGGATTTTAATTAAATTTTTATAAATAATTATTTTTTATAAAAACAGGTGCATACTGGTAATGACTTTGCCTCTCTTTCATCCTTTCTATTTGTTTCCGAACCTGTGGAAATCTTTTATGCAGCAGCCCCTAAAAATTAATATTTTATCAGAACTCAATAAAGAGGCTTGATTGTGACTAACGTACTCTATCTGCAGACTATGTCACACCAAATTCTTCTCTTAGCTCCATTAGTTTAAATCTTGAGAAGACGCATACGTCAAGAGAATTAAAACAGTTTAGAAACACAGAAATTCTGAAAAGATTGAAATAAAAATATGCAGCAACACCACAATGCTCCTGCAGTGGAGAGAGAGCTGAACCTGAACTTCTCACAATCCGAGTCAGTTTTCTAATTACACTTGGATATTTGGGGATAAGAGGAAGAATCTCTTTCTCTCTCCCCTTTCTTAAACCTCCAGGAAAAAATGTGAAAAAGTCACATTTTGTTTTTAAGTGGAATGAAATCATTAAAAAAAATCCACTTTAGTTAACCCATGTATTTTTATTTTCTCTCTAGTCCTAACCAGAAGTGCTCTCTCTGTTGCTCAGGCTCCATAAAATTAAAAATAAACAAACAAACAAATAAAAAAAAAACCTCTTTGCTTTTGTCAGGGATATAATGAATGTTTGGAAGGCTTGTTTTAAGAAGAAGTAAATTCAGCTACCAAAATAAAGAAAATGAAAAAAGGAGGGTGCCAAAGATCTAACTTGCCTTAGCGGCTGAAAAAACTACAGACATTTATTAAAGGAAATTACTGCAAGGCTTTCCCCTGGTGTCTCCCATTTTCCACCTTTTATCACAAAGGTCTCCACGGTTTTCATTGACTTCAGTGGTCTCATGGTAAAAGTTCTTGTGAGGAGAGAGATGTGTTTTCTGAACTTCTTTACTGTCCCTACTGTACTTTCACTTCTAGGACTTTACTGCCACTCCTGTAACTCCTGGGAATTAGTCAAAGAAGAATGATGTAAGATACTATATTTCAACCCTCTTTTTGAGGATGGTTTCTTTGCAAGGCTTTTCACTAAATGTTAGCTGAGGAAACAAGACCTCATAGACAGCTTTTGTATTAAAACAGCAGTCACCATTGAAACAGACCTCTGGGTTTGTTTTAATAGCTTAAAATTTACTGCTCGCTCTTATTCTGTGCCTGATAATTAATATGTAAGCAGCAGAGATCACGCAGAAGGGATATATGATTACATTTTAATTATAAGCCCTGAAGTAAATTTGTAGAGAAGCCCACCTGAGTATTAACTGGCACACTTGCCGTTTATTTTAAAAGGATAACATAAAGTGGATGCTCTGATACTACTGCATAAATTTGTTCAGCATCCTTATCCACTACCATTCTATTTATAAACCCAGAAGTTTGTAATGTATCCCCTTTCATTAGAAAGCACATTTTTGAAATGCAGACATTTTTGGCCCAATTACGTAGCGGTTTTAAGAAAAGAGAACTACTACTCTTTTCCACTTAATATGTTTGTTTTAGGAATGTGAAAGAGTTAGAAGCCAACAGTGGGTCCATTTTTGAAAGCCTCTTATTTTAATAAGCCATTGACTGAGTTTGGTAACATAGAAATGAAACATATAAAATAACGGGGCATCCAAAGCAAATGTCAGACCATATTTTCATTTGGTTTGCCATTGTAATGATACCTGTATTTATAATAGCCCCTGTACTCTCACACCTTTACAATAATGACTCCTTCTACCACTTGCTCTTCCTTATTCCTAGCAATCATGTGCATCAGGCTTTTCAAGCTACTTGAGAAATAAATAAAAAAAAGAGAAAAACTAGTAAAGGATGAGGAGTAGGAGGAAGACGAATACCATTCATATTTATGCACACCAAAATACTCTTTGGGCGATTATCTGTTTCTCACAACAATAAAACCCCCCAAGAGACTTCTGATGATGATGCTGCTACAGGATATTGTTTCTCTGCTAATATTCCCAAAGTTGGTTCCTACCAAGTTACTACAATAACTTCTTTTAATTATTTGTCCTTCTGGAGACTAAGAGGCACACAGTAATCTCTTCTCAAACATGCTAGAGAGGCATGGAAATCCCCATGCAACAAGATGAGAACATACTGTTTCTACGAGGCTCCTGCTGCAGTCTTTATTTTGTAATCTGAGCATTGTACGTGATTATAACATTCAGTAATCACAGAGAACCAAATGGTAAGTTGCCACATATTTCTGGCCAAAAGAGAGTATATTCTCTTCTCATAGATGAAAAGAGAAAATGATTTTAAATGTTTACAAAATACGGCTATAATTGAACAATTTAAAAAAAAAAATCTATCCTTTATTATATAGCTGCATCTCCCAGGGATACTCAGTGGTCTAAACTGATGGTTACTTGAGGCCATACTAATGTAACCCAATGAGTTTATCAACGCAAATGTAACAAGTCTTTAAGGAGTCAACAGGACAAGAGGCAATGGGCAGAAACTGAACCACAGGCAGTTCCATCTGAAGCTGAGGAAAAACTTCTTCACTGTGAGGGTGACAGAGCATTGGAACAGGTTGCCCAGAGAGGTAGTGGAGTCTCCATCCTTGGAGATATTCAAAAGCCGTCTGGATGTGATCCTGGGCAATATGCTCTAGGTGACCCTGCTTGAACAGGGAGGTTGGACTAGATGATCTCCAGAGGTCCCTTCCAACCTAAACGATTCTGTGATTCTGAGTCAATTCTGCTCCCAACTTGACTGAAGTAAATGTGTAAGCAAATGCAGAATTCATCCAGCATGAGTTACATGCACTAAAAAATTCTCAAGCTTTAATATATCTTTCTGTGCAGCAGAAAATCCTGCACCAAAAGATCTGGAAGACTCAGCCTACATCAGAATACAAAGCGAAGGCTTTGAACTGCTGTGTAGGTGGATTCATCTTTTACACAAAAGGCAAAAAGAAAACAACCTTGCTGACATGCTGGCCAACATGCCCAAGTTAGCCAATATAAAATAACTCCCTCCGTAGTTAAGAGTTTTATTTTTCTTTTTTATTTTCAAGTTGCTGCCTGACGCACTAAAGTAAAAGGTTGCCTCCACTCTTCCTTTGGTTGCCACTTTCTGTCTTCTCTGCACTGCTAACTGAGCAGATTATTTTCCTTTTAGTGAAACGAATTGCCTCTTCCATAGCTTCCATTAACGTGTCTTTAAAAGGCTCCTAGTAACTAGTGTAGTAGCAGTCTCCCCTCGAGGATGAATCACTGAAGCTGTGTGAAGAGCCCAGGCTGCCCGCTCTGCAGCCTGGAGCATAAACATGCTTTGAGCATGGCTCTCTCACAAGGCATTTTCTGAGTCTACTGCTATGGCACTGCCTGTTCTAAGGTCCTTTAAATTCCTAAACTGAGGGATGTGACCAGCTCACCTCCCCTTGGGGCAGCCCTAAAGTCTGCTTTGCTTTATTGCTTTCCAATGCAATAATACATGTGCCAGTGGAATAAAATGATTTTTCCAATCCTGCCAGCACTTTAGATAGTCTCTTCCCTAAACCATAAATGATTGAAAAATCATTCATGTCAGCTACTTTACCGGGAAAGAATAAAACAGATGACACATTGGGGTGGGGCTGAAAAGTCAGAAACAAAAGAGGAATTTCTTCCCCGGAAGTGTTTCTATCTGCTAATATTAAAGAAACAGTAGAAATACATGTCAATATAGTAAATGTCAGAATTGTAACCACAGTGTTATTTTGTTATCATTTGCTGTTCAAGTAAAGTAACTTCTTGCTAAAATCACGGTATATAATCTTTATTGCATTTTAACTGGAAAAAGTCCAATGAGCACTTAAAATCTTAGTCCCAGATAAGTTTTCTTAATTGTGTACTACTATTCTTTCTTTTTTCATCTTTCTGGTACATTTCTATTTGCATAGTATGTAGGCATTTGGATATATCTTTTAATCATTCTATTACATAACATTTGACTTTATCTACATTCATCCTGTCAGTAAAATCAGATGCTGACTACCTTACATGACTTCAGGCTTGCAAAGGGCATGCAAAACTCATTTGATTTTACTGCATGTTAAAATGATCACACCTGTGCTTTTGTTACTGGAAACCATTAAACGAATGGGCCAGTGGAGAATGCTAAAATTTTTTGCAATGAGGATGAGGGAATTTACACTAAAGATTTTCCAGTAAGAGAAGACTCTTTCCATTGAGATACATTTTGTTAATTTTCTTTCCTGCCAATTTTGAATAAATCTGGCCACTTCTGCACTGTTAACCTTTTGGCCCTTTCTTCAGTTAACCCTAAAACAGTTTCTTTAGAATCACACGCCCAAAAGCAGAGAGCAGAAATCTGGCCATCAGGTACAATGAAAGAGAGCACAAGAAGAAGAAAAAGTTTAAAAAAAAAAAAAAAAGGCAAGGAGAGAGAGAAACAATTTAACTCCTCATTCAAAGTTGCAACATTATTTGGATATCCCAGTCACCATGCTCCACCTGCTTTAATGTTTTCCCAGTTCTCTTCTACTCTTCCTGAAAGAGAAAAGTCAAGAGCAGTCCGGCACCAGTTACTTACTCAATTGTGTTCCTGTCCACTTTGCCTGTCATGTTAATGCCATAGAACTGCTGCATGGCAGCTATAGCTGATTGCATGGTTTCCGCAGAGCGCAACACCGACATTCGGGGGTCAGTTGGCGGAAGGTAGCCGTACTTTTGTAACCATACCTGCAATGACAAGCGTAATGGCTATTGAATACAGATTAGAGGTAAATAAAATGCTCCCTAGTAATCAGATTTGTACCGTATGTGATGAAGCTTTTAATTAACCAAGCATAAATCCTGTCAGTTTGGTATTTTGCAGAGAAGAAATTCTTTTGGGCTTTTATTTTATCTCTTTATTAAAGATTCTGCTGTTTTACGAGTTAGGACTTGTGTTTTGTACCCAGGAGCCAGCTCTCTTTATTCTCCGATACCTCCCGTTTCAATTATTTGTTGAACGTATTTATTTGTTTCAAGTAAGAGCTTAAGCACCTACCCCTGGCTCTAGGGGCTTCAAGAAATTTTTAAAGCAGACAAAATGTAAAATCTACAATATATGCCACATATAATTGACTGTCTACACGGCACACAATATTATTCACCAACTATAATAATAAATCCACAAAAGCCCTCACACAATGGTACTACATTGGTATTTTCTCTCAAACAGCATGAAAAAGAAGGTGGGAAGAGATTCAGCTTTCCAGGAAGATTACTGAACTCACACAGTGATAAGCAAAGCAGGCCCACTTATAGGAAACTCCCTGATGACACGATCCTCCTTTTTAAATGGAAATAATAGATTTAGTGCAGACTGTTTATTTTCTTAACTGTGTAAAAGTGAGAGGGAGAGGGCATGGTCCCAATAAGTGAAAGCTTTATGGATTAAAGCCAACATCTCAAATACACCTGGAAAAACAGGAGCTCTCACAGCACTCTGAAATATGCTCTCCTCTTGAGGCAAAGTTTAATAAACAAATAGTTGCAGTCATCCTAACATTTCTAAGCATTCTCAAAATCCAGCCTATGCAGGGCAGACTGCAAGACTTTTGAAGGGATGAGAGCACTGATACATCTTTAAAAATGTCCTCGACAGCTTCTCATCTGAAGCTCACTACACTGAAAGGTACATATATTGCCACTATACAACACAAATTCTATTGCTGCAGCCTCACTTCCCCCAGTAAAAAAAATACCTGTGACCCCATAAATCTTCTTTCTTTCCTTCTTTAAAGAAAAATGAACAACTAAACAAACAAATAAAAAAATAAATTCAGACACCTCTCTCTAACACAGCACATCCCAGTCTGCAGATTCCGGATTGTTGCATTAACGAATGTTATCCACCCACCCTCCCCTTAGACTGCGTTGTTGGATTTGTCTGCTTCATACATCACTTTTGGGTTATCTGTCTGTGTTTATACACACTGTTTATACACACCCTGACACCAAAGTGCATGTTTCATGATTCTCAACCTGAAGTTTAGCTTGCAGAGTCAACCCGATCCAGTTCTGCAGCAGGATAACCATGTTAGTGGTGCATTCCCAATTTATAGAAAGGAAAAACTGAGCTTTGGTTTTATATCCAGCGAAGCAACTCAAAAGGGATAAATTCATTGGTATAGTAACTTTATTATCCACTGAATATGGGTGAATATCTGGCTCAGTGCAAACCAAAGATGAAACCAGCATTAGAGATAGGTGAAATCTTCAGATTGTGAGTTCAGATATTTCTAATTTAAACAGATTTAAACTGTACCCCCCTCCCCTCCCCACCCTGAGTGCAGCTCATACACAATATCAGCAGTGGTTGTGAGCTCTGCAAAACAGAGAGATGCAGTACAGACAGGATTAAGATATAGTCTGACTTCTGCTGCCTTAGGACACTATCTCCATATACAGGTGCCACTTGAGTACAGGAATAAAATTCTATTTAATAGATAGACTGATGCTATTATTTCCAGTTTAATTGAACTACATGCTGTACCCATATCCAACTTTTGCATACTCCTGACTTTTTGCACTTTTCAGTTCCAAAGATGAACTTGTGAACTTTTGTTTTAGATTAGTGTCTTCACATAAATCATTTAACTTATGTGCCACTTTCTGTAGGAAGCCTGTTTTTTCTTTTATTTTTGGAGGGTGGTTTGAAGAACCAGCTAGAGTTGGGAAGTTGACAGAAGCAAAGTGAGGTGTGGAAACAAGACTATGGAAGTAACGGATCAGTCTGACACAGTCTGGGTGGATTTCAAGGTAATACGTAGAGTTCCTCTGAATTAATATTCACAACAAGTGTAACTAAGAATTGGGTTATTTTGAAACCCACCCTTTCAACTTATTGCAGAAGAGGTGGAAGGGATTAATGCCAGAGAGTGACATTAAAACAAATTATCAGTCACAGAAGCAAAATAATTCTGAGCAACATGTTACTATTGCTTGAATTGATCCCACTCTGTTGCCACCCTCTCAGCATGAATTTGGGATGCAGACACTGAGCTGGGCTCCCCATGCGGATCTCTTACAGGAGCTAAGGGCATACAGAATTGCTTGGTAGGCTTGCGAGGTTGCCTATCACCATTCAAAACAACCCTCACTGTGGCATAACTGAAGGAGACAGGGGTATGCAGGTTACAATTTATCAAATTTACCGGAAGCTAAAGCTTTGGTTATCTTAACTGGAAAAGTTGTAAGGAGAGACAGAGACAGAAAAAAGAGCTTGGGGAGTACTGATCACGGAGAACAGTAGTGGAGTCTTCCAGGCAAACTGGAATTAAGCAGAATACCACTGCAGACACAGGGCAAAAAGACTGCTTTTACTGAGGTGGCTCAGTAAAAGCAGGAGAAGACAATGTAGCCTTCCCTCTGTGAAAAAAACTTCAGTTAAATACAGATGCCTGGTAATGACTGCCTATCGTTGAATAGAGGAAGGAGACCACTTGAATCTTTCCTCAGTCTTCAAAATAGCAAGTAGAATACAAAGCCAACACACCGGAAAGTCAGTTGACACTCCGTACACGGGCTCCTTCTACTGAAAATCCATAGACAAATTGACATCCAAGCCATTTAACTGGCGAATGCTTGAGAATGTGAGCTCCGGTATTACAGAAAGGCTACTGAGTTCTGAGAACGGGCCGTGCAACAAGAGATGAGACAACAAATCTGGTTGCTGTCGCATTCCTGAGTTTTCCTAGTCTTCTATTAATAAATTTTGAAGGAAGTTCATTCAGTGCGCCAGATGTAAAATATGTCCCTAAGATTCTACTGTGCATAGCCCAAATGTTGGGAACCGTGAAGGAGAAACTTAAGTTTACAATGAAGTCCAAAATATATGGGTGAGGAAAACAACAAAGTGGGGGGACGGGGGAGAATGAGGTAGCCACAGCAAGAGAATAAATGAAAGCCTTGGTTTTCTGAGACACCCATGTTAAAGAAATTATGGCAAGAATTTCCCCCTCGCCCTCTACTGAAATTAGATGTCTGCCTGCCTTAACACACTTTAGCAGCGTCAATGCAATCTTGGCAAGAAACTGTATTTTCATAAGCTACCTATTACTCTGAGGAACTCATCTATCACAGAACAAGAAAATAGTGAAACAGACTCATCTAACGCGTAACGTCTGGGACAACAACAAAGACACTTTGCACAAACTCTGAAATTGGTGATACCTGCCATGCCTGTCTACACTTGAGGAAGATAAAATATTGTTACTTCAAGTGGAGTTTTTGGGCAGGACTTTCTCATCCTTCAGCAGTCCGAGAGTAACCTCTCACTCTAAACACAGACAAACAAAGCTGGAAGACAACAGCCTCCATCACCTCCATCTCTATTCCAGTGCTTTACTATCCTACTACTGTGACATTTGTCTTAGAGCCAAATTTCCCTTGTAATTTAAGTCTGTAGCCTCTCACCTCATCTGCTATGGGTGAGGATAAATGATTATTCCTTTCCCCTGTGCAGTAGCCTTCTTTCAATACTGCATACCTCAACCCTTACGTGAGTCACTCTTTCTAATTTTTTTGAAATAAACTAAAGAAATCCCATTTCTTTAAGCCCAGAGACTTTTCAGTGTTCATATTAACCAACTGGAAACTAGAAGCTAAAACCTCTCCTTACTAAGCATCTGCTTCCACTAGATTTGTACAGTGGTTCCCACTGTTAGCTTGTTAATAAACACTGGAATTTAGCAGAAAAGTTTTAGGGTTTTTCAGAAGAATATGGACACTGAAACATTTAACTGGGGAAAAAAAGCACAAAACTAAAATTAGCCTAAAACTATTTTTTCTCACTGTTTGAACTAAGCCTTATGTCACATTTATTAAGACATTTTAAAATGGTGAAACTCTGCTCTGTACATGATTTTTCCACCAGACAAAAATACCCATATAATTCTAGCTCATCTTTTCTATGAAGTCCTAGACATAAGTCTAAGGAAAAAGGTAAAGAGAACTGATGGGTAATGAAACTTTAAGAGATGTTGAGAGTTTGCTGAGGATCTGCCACTCCTACAGGAGTCTGTGAAATCTGTAAACGCTCAGCACATGTCTTTCAAATTCTTAATGTCATTGATGTCATTAGATGTCTTTTTTTTTTTCCTGCCATAATGAAAACATCTTTTCATCTTAATTTGCAACTGATACTAATGATGGACCATCTGGCTACATGGCCATTCTATTTGTCACATCTATGTATCCTCCAACCGAAAGGATAAAATATGGGCTAATTTAAAGGATATTAAAAATGGACTTCAGTCACCCAGATTCAGGGTTGTGGTGAGTGGTGCAGAGTCTAGTTGGAGGCCTGGAGCTAGCAGTGTCCTCCAGGGGTCAGGCCTGGGTCCAGTCTTGTTCAGTGTATTCATCAATGACCTGGAGGAAGGGACAGAGTGCACCCTCAGCAAGTTTGCTGATGATACTAAACTGGGGGGAGTGGCTGACACACCAGAAGGCTGTGCAGCCATTCAGAGGGACCTGGACAGGCTGGAGAGCTGGGCGGAGAGGAACCTCCTGAAGTTCCACCAAGGCAAGTGCAAGGTCCTGCACCTAGGCAGGAAGAACCCCACGCACCAGGACAGGCTGAGGGTTGACCTGCTGGAAAGCACCTCTGCAGAGAAGGATCTGAGAGTCCTGGTGGACGACAAGTTAAGCCTGAGCCAGTAGTGTGCCCTTGTGGCCAAGAAGGCCAATGG